ACAGATCTTCATAACAATTATTATAACCGTATAAAAAATTCCATCTTATAATAGAACTAATCAAGTAGAATACGAGCTAAAAAAATTACTTTCACGTAAATTAACATATTTTTTTCAGTTATTTAGGTATTGTTCAATAAAATAAACCATCTGTTAAAAAGATTTACCAAGCATATCATCTGAAGTGAAGACAGTAAGTAAAGAATACATAATATAATTATACAATACATAGGCCGATAAGAAGCTAAACACTTTTCCTTCTTTTCCATACAACTGTACTACATATAATATTTATCTTCATTTTGATCTATTACTAGAATATCGTCCTACGTTTTTTCTCGCAACTTGATTTGAAAGACATTAACAGTCAATCCCACACAACTCATTACACGTGTTTAGTTGAATCCTTTTACCCTTCTGTCATACTAACTCCAATATTACATAGCACGGAAAACTTCAAATAAGAGCTAAAAAGTTTTAGCAATAAGAAACAAATGAAAAATCAATTGAAGTAACGAATTATGGGCTTTTAATTCAGACCAGAAGTATTATTATTATTCTTATCTTGGTTTAGTTCAATTAAAGTAACGAATAAAAGATTTTAAATTCAGACCATCATATCATATTTTAAGTAAAACTAGAACGCAAATATGTTTTGGGAAATAATTTAAGAGTTGGGCGTTCATCAGATTTTAAGAATTTTCTCAGGGCAAGATCGCAAGAAGAATTATTACTTAGAGAGTTTTTAATAAGTAATACTTTCCAAAGATCTCATTTTATTTCATTTATTACAATATTAAAGCTGACTTGGAACCCATCCCCAAAAGTGTTGCCAGCCAGGTAAAACACAAAATACAATTTTGACAACATTATACTTTTAATGGAATAATTTTAAGAGCTTGGGAAGGATTATATAAAATAAAATAAACAAAAATTAAAATTTAGCCTAAAGCAATGTTCACATTATAATAAATAACGATTTTATTTTAATATATATATATGTTCATACAGATATTCTATTTTAGTTATGAAGCAGATTATTTTTAACATACACACAGACGTTATTTTTCTATCATATTCGTATAAGGAAACTGCAATGAATATTTAAATCCTGATTTAAAAGCCTCAAGCAATTATCTCTGCCCCGTTGTCATACATATTGCTCCTAGCTTTCAAATCACATTAAAATTTGCATAATGACTAGTCTGAGAGCTCAGTGTAAACTGGACGTATTAATTAGTCATACTAACACAAAAATAAGTTTATATTTTACTCGATGTTAACTATATTTAATTTTAAATAATATACAAATATTTAAAAGATATTATACAACAAAACATAATATTAAAGATGATGACGAGAAAAAAAGTACGATATTTTTCTAAGTATAATCGTTTTAATAACGTGCCCCTGCATACATATGTATTTTGTAAGATATTAATTTTCTATATAAACATGATAACCGTATAAAATATGTTCCCTTTGCCTTTTTTTAATAATGGGAAATTTATGATATGAAAAAATATATATAAGTATTTCTTTTTTTAAATGTCTGTCAGATTTTACCTAAGCATACAGTATGTTCAATAAAATACGTTGGGCATTTAACATCGGTCTATTTTCTGGGTAAAACTACTCAACATGTAAGAAGTAGTAAAACAGTTCATCCCTTTCAGTGCACAATTATGGTCTGCACAGTAGCCAAGTTACTGCAGCTCGAACATGGGCTGGCTCGACCGAGGAAGTACCACCCTCTCACAGAAGATCGGCGTGAAGTAGTCTTTAGAGGCTGCGTTTGAGCCTCCGAGCGGCGGTTGGAAGTCGATGAGGGAGGCCTATGTCCAGCAGTGGACCTCACATGACTGAAGAAGAAGAAGATATAATACATAAATAACTATATGAGTGTGTGTAAATAAGTGTGAGTCATTTAAATAATTGAAATATTCACTTCATCATAACGAAATTGAACAAATTTTTTTGACAGTTCGAAGTCACTCTCAGTTTGATATGTAAAAAATGTAATTTCAATAATGAAACTTATTATAAAATAAATAAATATGTAGATATATATATTTATTTGAGAACCAGTAAAATGAATCTATGTCTTAATGACCATAAATGCAGGTCAATTTCAGGCCTCTCGTACGTGAGGGTGCGCATTCAAAACCTGACAAGTACCAACGTCATTCATGTTAAATTTTTAGTCATTTTTTCACATCACTGACAGGCTGTAAAGGATAACATCATGAGGAAACCTGGAGTTATAATCCGCTTTAAGCAAGCGTGGTGATTAATGCTCTAACCTTCTCTATGTGAGAAGAGGCCTTTTGCTCAGCTGTGGGCACCAATATGCTAATGATCAGGATCAAAACATATCACTGTAATTACACTATAATTTTATAGGGTGTGATACCTTCAAAATATTGGGCCATAATATCTTGAATCCACTTTCATTTTGGATGACAGTTTCAGTCAAATTTGTGACGTCATTCTGTCATATTGGAATATCCAATATGGTGGACTATTTATTTTTTATGCACTTCTACAATATGTATCTCATATGAAATACCTTACCAAGAATTGCTAGAAAAAAAATATACAGCGATAACTAAATGGACAAAAAAGTAAAGAAACAAATTATCTTGTTTTATTTATTTTCATTTAAACATGAAAATATTATATTGTAAAAAACTTACTATTTTTATAGTTTAAATAATTTTCCAAATAAACTAAAACATATTTATAAACTATATGACGTCAATACTTTTATACCGTGGCGATAATCTCATAAGTAATATGAAAATATTTCAGCTGAGCATCACGTAGCCATCGAATTAGGGGAGTTGAACAAACATCGCAATATTTGTAAAGATAAGAGGCTCTCTAATAGAATCTGAGATCGCACGCAGGTGAGTTGACTCACGTAAACCAAATTCGGTCAAGAGAAATAATGCGAGGGACACGTCACGTGTGAAAAAATTAAAGTATTTATTTAAAAAGGTACGGTTACGTTTTAATATAATATAACTCAAAATATGATGTTTTGTAGGTTTTTTGCTCAATTTGCATGGAGTTAGAAACGCATTTAAATGTAAAGATTGAATAAATTATTGAAATAAAAAAAATCATTATGGTTAATTGTTAAATAACATAAATTATTGACATTTCTTGATTGATAAATCGTTCAAAGTATAAACAGTTGTAAAATAGGAAAATCAAAATTTCTCAAAAATCTAATATATAATATATATGTAATAACAATACTATCTTACAAGCAATTTAAAAATATGTAATCAATATTATAATGATACGTAATGATATTAAAAACCTCGCCAAAAACTACTATGAAAAAACTAGTATGTCAAAACTTGGTTGTAAGGAGACTTCTCTACAAACAAGGTCGGCAACGCATATCCAAAATCCTTTATATTGCAAATGTCTTTGTTCAACGGTGACTACCTTCCATCAGGTAGGCAGTTTGGGTCAAACAAAAAAAAACTATATTATAATAACAGTTAACAATTGTCTCTTTCTTTGAAAAAAATTGTTCTAACTCTATAAACTCATTGAATAACCTTATTTGATACTATAATATGCGAAGATTTATGAACGAATAACTGTCAACGTTCCGTATATTGTGTACCGACTTGTTGTAACTATACTAAAACAAATAAACCTCTTTTCTCTTACCTCCTTCAAGGACAGTTTCAAATAATTATAATTATGTTACATACTATCGTTACTATCCTATTTAATGATAAATATGTAATGATATTTTTCTTCCCTACTTCAAAACGTTAATAGTTGTATAATAATGTTTTTTTTATTATTTTGCAATATGAAAACCTAACATTTAATAATGTAGTATTTAAACGACTTTGTCAGTGTTAATTTTTTTATCATCGAATTGAAAGAAGCATGAGTTTTAAATTGACAAATATATTAGTCAATATCACAAAATAAACATAACATCAAAGATTTTTTAAAGAGCTGAATTAATTATGTATTAAAATTATGTATACTACATTGAGAGGGTATAATCTACATTCAAAACTAAATTAATTTTAAATATAAAACAAAGGGTAAGATATAAAGTAAATAAACCGAGTTGAAATTAAATGTCCTATTATTACAATAAATTGACTAATTGATTAGTTTAACCTTTATGTACTTATTAATTAAAACCGCTTAATATACCGTAAAATGACATTTATAAATGTGCTGGCATAACAATTGATTTATTAAGTTGTTAACCAACTGTCAGCGCCATCTATCTTCTATATCACGTGACTAGCTACATTCTGTACAAGACTATCCTAAAAACATGTTTTTATGTAAATTAGTAGAAAAATGTTTCCGATAACATAAAGAAAAAAATATATGAATAAGTTATTTTGTCCAAGAAATATATAAACAATTTGAAAGTTTCTTTTTTAAATATTTTTTCTATTTTAAAGCTTTCTTTTAGAATTCCGTTTTGAAACTACAGGTCATCCATTACCAATTTAACATGGCAACAATATAATATACCCTAATGGAAAAAAGTTACTTAAAGCTGTATTATTATTGTTGCCAGTACAACACTGAAATAATAATATTTTAGAAATATAATACATTATTTTTAGTTGGTTTAATAATAACAAAAATTAAACTTTAAAATAAATAGTATTTCAAAGAAAAATAATTAATTAAAATTTTAGATATAATGATAATGCATTTATCTTTATTGTCAAGAAACGTAACATCCGTACAGGTTTGACAACATTCAGATACATGAATTCAATTAATTCCCTTTGTCTATGATTACAATTCTCTATTTCTATTGGCTACGTAAAAGAAATTGAAAATGGCGCGGGTTTTGTCACATCCTGTTATGTGTTGGTGAGTGCATGGCCTCGACGTTGATCCCGTTCCAAGATTTTTATTCCGCAACGCCGCAGTACCTTTACATATGTAATATTTAATATAATATTATTCGTAATGGTGTTCTGTAAAAGGCCATGGATTTAATGAAAACGGTAAGGATTGTTTAGTTGCAGTATTATAATATTAAATTTTGTTTGGCTTTTGTTTCTTGTTTTGGTGATATTGAAACTAGCCATTACATTAGAAAAAATATCTCTTTCCAGAATTTGTGTGCACGTGGGAGGTAAGTCTTAATAGTTTTAATTTTGTAAAAGGTTGTAAATCGTGATTTCCTTAGAACAGAAGTACGGTTTGTTTGATTTGTCAATACATGGCACCCGGCGACCGAGCGTTGTTACGCCATCTTATAGTCAGTTTAATGTTCTGCACTTTTAATCGCTATGAGCTGTTACAAAACATAATTAGTATTTGGTAATAATGTTTTTTTTGCAAGGGATTTGTGGTGGAAACGATTCAGTAAACATTGGTCATAGGTATGTCATTTTCACTTAAGCATTGCATCGTATTACATGACTTGACAAACCACATGTGCATAGAAGGATTTGTTGTTGTTATTTAGTCGGCATCAGGCCAATTGCATAATAAAATTATGCATGATAGTATACCGCTTTTTCTTTAAATATTTATGATTTCATTGCTCTCTATATGTATAGTTTACACAGTATATCTGTCCATGTATAACCTCTAACTGACATGTAGTGAAACGGTTCAATGTTCATATCGAATTGTCAGACGATAATTTTGCATCTTATTCAAGGCTAATTTAGATATTATACTTTTAGCTCATACTTTTTATGAATAAATTTTATTGTTTATCTACGATAGGAATCAAAAATGTAAAAAAAACATCTGTGAAATTTAGAAAAGGATATAACAAACACGATTACTGTGTATTAGAGACATGTGCTAGGAAATCCAACCATTAATGTTATGTAATTTTAGAATTAATTATAATCGAAACTTAAAGCTATAAAAACTTGATATGAAAGAGGTATAAATTACAATCAACTTTATGGAAATTTTTCGAAAATAAGTAAGCATAATTAGTGGCCCACAGTAAAAGAAATTTATACAAAAAAAAAATCTTTTTAAGAATCACTTTCCATGTCAAAGTATGGGAGTGTATTTTATACAGTGAATATTTTAAGTTAAACCTATCAGCTACATTTGTATCAAGAAAAAGCTACATGTTGACCTTAAAATAAAGTTTAAAATGTAATAAGTCTTTTTTATTTATTTCCTCTTATCATATTTATCTTGTTTTTTATTGGCTGTTGTTTGTATATTGAAGGGATAGTAGTGTTTAAGTTGTTGTGGCATCGCACACATGCATGATTGCAATATCAATTTTTTATAAATATATGTATATATTGGTGTCGTTTACTGTATGTTTGTCATATTTATAGGTACATAATATTTAATTATGTATATTTGAACAAAGAACAATTCAAGCTATTAAAGATATCTTTTTAGTTTTGATCAAGGTGATTTTATTAAAGTATCAAAACTCTTCAGTTTGTCCCTTTGTTAATAAATATTTGTATTAAATATAATTAAATTTGCTTTTAATATTTACTTGTTATCTTAGAGTATTGTTTTATAAGAGAACTGTCCTTAATTTCAATAACTAAACTTGATTTTTATCAATATGAAATATTTTTTCGTTGTTGTATAAGGAATGGGGCTTTCCATTTACATATTTATACATATGTTGGTTGCTTATGAACTGTAGCCATGTCATAATTTTCGAAATACTACAAAAAAAAAAGTACTGGCAGTTTAATTTATAAAGATATTGTTTTGTGGTTTCAGCTCGATCATATTTTTTTTTTCATTAAATTTATTCAAATAAAAAGTCTCTAGTACAAAATTTACATTCACCGAGGCTACTAAAATTTGAATTTATAACCTAAATGATATTTATTAGGAATTGGTGTATGGATATGTATTTAGTGTGTTTGATGATTAATCATAATTTTACAGGACAATACATTAATTATATGTGACATTACAGGAATATGAGTTCCTAGACTTGTCAGATGTGAAAGAAGCGGAACTAAGCAGTCTACAGTGCGCTCTCTTCGAGAAAAAGCCCAGAGTAGCGGCCACCACAACCAACGGTTGGAACGATCCTACTGTAGGTAAGATTAAAGATAATATATTTATTAAAATGTTATATTTATAAGTGTAATTTATCATTCTGTTGCCATAAGTTTCTATATCTAGTCATACAAGTTGAAAACAAAATTTAATATATCTTAGAAAAACAATCATAATGAAACTAACATAGAATTTCATTAATGATATTTAAATGTCAGTATATTGTCATATAAAGATATTAATCACATTGACACTTTATTTCTATATACAATTGTTCATATCCCATATTTAAATATCAGTATGTTGGTTACAGACGTTTCATCTTGTTCATCGAGTACGGCGGGAGCACCGACGGTGTCGAGCAGCCTGGACAGCCTGTCGGGCGGCGAGTGCGAGATGGCGCCACACTCGCCACAGCGGGGCGCCGGTGTGCCGCCACACGCGCCGCCGCCCTACGTCCAGCCGCCCACCTACCCGCCACAATGGCCCGTCGCACCGCCAAACGTATACGTCAGCCAGGTCACAGCCAATGTGAATGTTCACGGATACATGGGCCAGTACTACCAACCTCCACAACCACAGTACATCCCGCCCCCACAAGTTGAACGCCCGGCGAGGAATCAAAGGAGGGAGCGACGAAATAAACGAGCCCCATCACCACCGCCGCAACCGCCTCCCTACTATGTACCATACTCGCAATACTATCCTGCGGCTCAAGCTCAAGGCGCGCCCCTGTACCATCTGCCTATGTACCAGCCCTTGATGTATGGACCATATACATATCCACCTTACTACCCTGAGTATCCTATCCCAGTTGAAGGCGACGCTGGCGATAAGGGACCTGATGAATATCAACAAGAAGTTGTCATGGAACAAGAAGCGGTAGATGCGTACTATGCAAGCGCGCATTACGCCGCTCCGCCCTACGGACCGCCAGTCGATGGAGGTGTAGAGTACATGCCGCCTCTGTACTTGCCACCACCACACCATCCCGCCCAAATGCACATACCACAACAACAGTTACATCAACCCGTCCCCCATCAATTCAATGTACATGCTAAAAATTTCGTACAAGGGCAAAATCAAATTAAAAACTACACACCTGACAAGTCTCAGGAACAGAAACCACCTGTTGTTGCACCTTCATCCACACCGCCAACAACAGCGTCGTCAACGACGGCCAGTCCCGTTGAATCGCTGCCAATCAAAGATCTTAAGATTAACAAAGGACCCGGAAGTCCAAACCAGGAAAAATCGCCAGAAATTCCAAAAGATGTCACATCTAACTCTAAAACTTCGCCAACACTTAAAACTGATCTGTCCAAGCCAGCTTGGACATCTGACAATAAGCCTCAAGAACCGAGTGTAGCTCAAAATACACCGAAGACATTTACGCCAACGCCCACTACTAATGTTCCATCAGCAAGTGCAAAAGTTCCCCCAGTTCCTACTAAAGCACCAAAGGGACCAACAGCGCCATTCTCAGCTAACAAACAACTTCCAAAGCCACCTGTACCTTCAGCTGTCCCAGTACAGCAATCGGTAACCACACCAAAAGCGCCGTTTGGTAACAGACAAAAGCGTGAAGGCAATACAAATCGTTCACCATCCACTGAAATGCCAGAAATGGATAAACCAGCGCCAATAGAACATAAACGCGAGCCTCCGCTACCACCGAGCAAGGCGCCGATGCCTATATCTATTACACTTCACGCTCAAGGGCCACCCGTGATTGTGACGAACAAATCACCTTTTGCACACTCAAGGAAGGTAGTTCCGGTACCCGAACTACCTCCGGTTCCTCAACCTCCACCCCCAGCGCCAACAGCATCAGATTTCCCTCCACCTCCCACACCCCGGAACAGAGGAGAACCGGTTCCCGCACCAGTGGTTCAACCACAACCTCAACCAGCACCCGGAAAATCTTGGGCCAGTCTCTTCTCAAACAAACCCAGCAATATATCCACAACAATCGCACAAACAACTGTTGCTACCGAAGAACCATCAAGCCCAACGGCTTTGACGCCACCCGCTGCTACGAACATTCAGAAACCAGTAGCAAAAGTCCCTCCATATGATGCGTCACCATTACAAACGAATTCAGTAGACAAACAAATAGCACCAAGGCCTGTACAAACGCCTGCTCCTACTGTGTCGTATTCGGAAAAGACTTCAGTTAATGCTGTGAGCAATGTAACCACTACTATGCCTCCGGCTAAAACAGCGACGTCCCCTACTACTGAGGTTCGTGAAGTCCCAATACAAAAGGAATCTACACCAGCATTACCTATTCCACCTTCACCATTTAGTGATGATCCCAATTCATACAGAATGGGAGGTAAGATACAATCTCAATGTTATACCAAAATCAATTGGATCCCATAATAATTTTAATTATTTTTTATTAATTTTTTTTTTTCAGAATTTTTGTCTAAATACACACTAGACAATAGGCCAGTTTCGTTAACACCCCGCGGTCTTACAAATCATTCAAACTACTGCTATGTTAACGCTATACTTCAGGCTTTGATTGCTTGCCCGCCGTTCTACAACATGTTAAAGGCGCTGCCTTATCAAACGAGGCGTGGAAAGTCTAGTACTCCAGTTATCGATTCTATGTGAGTAGATAAATTTTATTATATCTTGACATACTAAATGTTTAAATTATTTTGAAACTCGTTAACTACATCATTGTAGAAACTAATTTAATTTTAACACTATCCTAGTCCTATAAGTCTATATTTTTTCTTAATTAATTGTATTTTTGTATTAATTTATAATTATCAATCTTCAGGGTCGAGCTGTGTTATGCTTTCGGTCCACTACCGAGCGCAAATCGCAGAGGCCGTGGTGAATCTGGTCCATCGGGAGCTCCGGCTGTACCCGCCATGTCACCGCTAGATGGCTCGGCGGGTCTCCGAGTTTTGAGAGCATTACGACCCTTCCCCGGCTCACAAGAAGGTCGCCAGGAAGACGCCGAAGAATTCCTTGGATGCTTACTGAACTCGCTCAATGATGAAATGCTCGAGGTTAGTTTATTAATTAAGCTAAATTTGAACTTCGCGAAATGCAGAGAACACAATTTTAAATCATGTTCTAGTCGACATTTTAAAAGCGTTATCATAATTATTTATATAGCTCAACTTTGACATGTTTTACATTAAAGTATTATCAAATTTATTTTACATAGGAATCCAAATTGTGAAACATTAATATTTTTATTAAAATAGATCAACTTACAAATTCATTATTGTCACATAAATGATTAATCTTATATTAATGATAATTTGGTCTACAATTATATCTACTACATTATAACTAATAATGCAATTCATTTACTTTCCAGTTAATAAAATTAGTTGAACCTGAAGAGCCAAAAGATTCAAATGGAAAACCAAATGGCATTGTAACTCAAGAACAGCCCCCAGATGAAGACAATGACGATGATGAATGGAAGGTAATTTGAAATTAATACTTAAAGTTTAACAACATTGTTGATTTGGTAAAGATATTCCAAAAATAACTCTTAATAATATGCAATAAAGATACTTAGATTTCTTGATGGAAATAAAGGCAAAGACAAATCTTATCCTGCAATTAGACCTACTTTATCTATACATAAAAATATACAGTATTCATCATCAGAATACCACAGTGAAAAACTAAACATGTCTAACATAAAAATTATTAATATACATTCTAAATCAAAAAGTATATCACAAATCATTGTTAATGAACAATGTTGTTTAATCATTTAAATAAAAAATACATACACATGGTTAAAGGGTCCACCTCTAGTTGCCGAGGGCGCGGGTTCGATCCTGGCCCGGGCAAGTACCAATGTGGTTTTTCCGAGTCATATGTATCTGTCTTGAGCTAGCATCGTGATTATTGCATTCCCAAAGAGGGTTAATACCTTCTTTGGGAATGCATGACCTGCCATCAGTCAGACAGACGGCCGGTCGTAAAAACGATTAGCCAAAACTATTTACAACATGTAAGACAGTCCCTGGCTAAAACTGTAACATTTGCAAGGAAGAGGAAGAATATAGATACGCGGAATTATCTAATGCTAGTTACGCGGATTTGCACTATCGTCGACTATATATTATGTTTGGATATATATTTACATACCTATATCAATAATAAATTATTCCTCGCAGGTGATGGGTCCTCGTAATCGCGGTGCTGTCGAGCGTCGCTGGGCCGCTCGCCGTACGCCGGTAGCTGACATCTTCAGAGGACGCACTCGCCTTCGTCTCCATAGAGCCCCTCATCATGACGTCACAGATGCCGTACAGCCGTTCTTCACACTCCAACTTGATATTGAGGTGACTCATTTGATTTAATTGACTATAAATTGGCAATCTTGTAAAAAAGCAACTGACCATGATTACTCCATTTTTACATACAACATAATGTTAGTCCTGATAATAAATTATACCTCAGTGAACTCACCACTGTTTTTAATAAACTTTTCACCATAAAATAATTGTGTATATATGTATGTTTATTTTATAAAAATATTTTGAAAACAAAATTTTATAGCATTTGTCAAATTGACAGAATCATTTTATACTCAGCAAAGTCTATTTGTCTTTGAAAAAATAGTGATGTACATAATAATTATACAATTACCTACTTTTTATCCGCAACTTCCTTTCCTTTCACACTTTGAAATGTATAGATGACCGGGGAAACTCTATTTCTCCTTAAAGGCAGTCAAGCTATTCTTGAACTATAAATAGTGTAACTAACATGACTTTCATTTTCAAAAAAAAGATATTTATAAACATTATTATTTGAACTTTATTCAACTCACAAATATTAAAAAGATTTGATTATACTAAAAACAGTGGATTTAACAGGCTGTGATGAAAATCAGTCAATCAATCCAAATCACATTTTTTCTGGTATTTAGCAGATAGAAACATAGGTAGTGCTAAAAAAGTCAAATTAAACATTTTTTTAAATTGTTAGTGATCTCGCAATACTTATAGACCTTCATGGCATGGCCATTAGGGTTCCTTGGCCAAAATCCATGTATGTTTTCCTAAGGAACCAAGGGTTTTTAGTGCTATTGAGATGCAAACAACTTGTCTCATTTGCATTGTCTGTCTCTAAACTCATTAAAAAATACTCACTAATAAATACTCAACAAAATATAAACAAATTGAAGTGTTTTTTTAATATAAATACTTTAATACAATAATTAAGTTTACAGTATTTTGAGTACTCACATCACTAGGGGCAATAGATAAGTCTTTGTCAATATAAGCTGATCATGTTCATTTACACGATTGCCAATTCACTAAGTCACATAAAATAGAAAATAGATGCCACTCATTGACTATTAAATAAATATAACCAAACATTTTTGGATTTCAATTTAAAAACAAAAGAAAATTATTAATTGTGCCAATAATATTTATCGTATTGAACATGATCTCTTGTATTACTAAACTGTGTATTCTGTTATCTTTAAAAGTTATTAAGTTATTTTGCACTACCAAATCAAATCCAAGTTATTTTGCACTACCTTACTTAACTGGTTATAAAACAAGTTCATTAGCAGTATGTACTAACAATATCTTTTCCTACAACTTATTGTCCCAAATCAACAATGATATTAAAATTTATTTAGAAATGCATTTAAATTTGATCTGTATATAAACATTATTATGCATAATTATTACAAAACTTATATATTTCTTTATCTTTTATAGCGTTCAACCACAGTTAAAGATGCGTTAGAACTTCTCGCCGGTAAGGATACCTTGGAAGGTGTATCGGATGCCTGGCAGCAATTGTCTCTTGAACAACTTCCCGTAGTACTATTGCTGCATTTGAAATGTTTCCAACTAGACTCTGAAGGCCACACTGCCAAAATTGTGAAGAACATTGATTTCCCAATCGACCTCAAAATTGATCCCAGTATGTATTTACTATAATTTTACTTAACATACATACAAATGTAAAAATACTAAGATTTTTCATGATGTTATTTATTTTTCGTCTCTGAAAGCGACAAAGTCGCTATCATGTAGAAAAAACTTACTGATCATATTAAAAATATTTTTTATACATTTTAAATTAAGAACAATATTTAAATATGTTATATGTTTTATTTCAGAAATAATTTCATCAAAACACACGACTAAACAACGTCTGTACAAATTGTTTGCTGTTGTATACCATGAAGGAGTAGAGGCTGTGAAAGGACACTATCTGACTGACACTTTCCATGGGCAAGTTGGATGGATTAGGTAAATATTACATGCTAGCTGCGTCCCACGGTGTTACCCGCGGATTTCCGGGATGTAAAGTAGCCTGTGTTATTCCTGGATACAGCTTCTTGTATACAAATTTTATCAAAATTGGTTCAGCCGTTTGAGCATGAAGAAGTAACAAACATACACACTCACAAATTTTTGCAATTATAATATTAGTAATATACTAATAATATAATACTGAAATAATATAACAAATATGTCTATAGATATCTATAAATAGAAACATTCATCTACTTCAATACTTTAAATCCTTTATTTGTTATCCAGCTCATATAATTTCAATGATCTTGAGTCTTGACCAACTTTCCTAAACAATTGTTTTTATTTTATTGTTTAAAATCATTACCAATGAAGTAATCGCATTGAGAAATACTGATAAATTTAATTGTTAAGAAAATAGTACAGAAGCAGCATAGTTTTAATGCTATTTATAAAATCTATATTTGCAATGATGTCATTTATTTTTCGTCTCTGAAAGTGCAACGCACTTAGTTGTAGACAAATATTACTGAGCTATTACTGTATTTTATTATTAAATTGTAATAATTATACTTGTATTAATTTTAATATGAAATTCCTCTAAGGTACGATGATTCCACTGTAACTCAAGTGACGGATGCTCAAGTATTGAAGCCGAAGCCACCGCGAATGCCGTACCTGCTAATGTATCGTAGACACGATACACTTGTACCAAATCGTCAATCTGGCAAGGCAGAATAATAATTAAATGTATAGAAAAAACATAAATTCGGCCTAAAATGATCATTACACATACTATTGTGTTCAGTGATGTGCATAGTGGACGTAAGTGAAGTGTCAAACTTAGTTTTGCACAAGTTTTATATGTAAGTAATATATTATTTTTCTTTACTCATCACCCATTTGGAATTTTTAATTTGGCACAAACGTCACGAGTGCCGATTGTAATAGTTATCCTTTTTAAGAAATGATCAAAAAAAAATTTTAATATATTGTCGTTTGTACATAGCAGTAGATGTATATAAATATGTTTTTGTATTAAAAGTAAGTAAATACTTTTTTGTCATGACGACATCGATTTGAATATATATATTTAATGAAATTTTACTTTGCATCGGTTCAAAAGTTACGCGGATCTTGTAAAGCTTGTAAATATTTAGGTGTTTGAAAAAAAAAATATATATATATTATTATTTTGGTTGTAATTGCCGAGACGTAAAAATATTTATATAAGTAATGTAAATAAAATGTAAATTAATGTGATATTATTTGATGTGAATGTCTCTCCTTGTTAGTTATAAGATCTTGACAATATGGAATTGTGTTATAAATTTTTAAAAAGTATAAAAAAAAATGCGTATTATTAAAGAAATTAAACTAGATGCATCATAATTCTTTATTAAAGAATCCTCGAACGTTGAAATGATTTTGGAGAATTGATGTAAAGTACAAAGATTGTCTATTGTTGTGATAACCGATGGCATGTTTTGTTTCTCAATTCACAAACAGTCTGAAATTGTGTAATTCTTTTAATTTGTGATTTCGTAATGTAAATTTTTATGTAAATATGATATTATACGGAGGAACAATTTGTTTTGTAACTGAAAAAAAATAATTACGTCCTAAATATCAGTAGGTTTAGGGAATGGTTATCGATTAGGAAAGGTGGTGCTTCAATGGACTGAGTATAGAGGAATGTGCCCTTGTTATGTGATAATGTCTGCGCGTATGACTGTTTACTTATATTCTGTTAAGTGTTATATATAAATAGATATATAGTAACAATCTGTTGGCTTTTCTGTACTGTTTTTAATATTATTCGAAAGTAAAATTAAATCAAATCTCTAGATCTTATTTGTTGGGAATGAAATGTAATGCTCACTGGTTGATTTTTGTTTTGTTTTTGTGATGTAAATTTTTTCACTAGTGTGTTTGTTTTTTTCTAGTATGGGAATATCGAAATAACTTGTATGGATTCTGTCGGCTTAGTTATATAGTGATGTCTGATCTCACATTTATGTTGTTTGTATCATAAAACACATAATGTATGTGGACACGAATGTAGGAATACCGATTAAGGGCTTACCGAAGCCTTTGGATACAAATAATATTATAGTATCAAATATAATGATAACTAGCATTTGGAAGTTTGCTAACGAATAGAGCTTTCTAATTAAGTGTTGAAAAAAAAAATTATTTGTAAAATACAATTTGGTTTTGAGTCCAATTGTAATAAAAAATATTTAGTCTTAAACTTAGTCAATTTAACTATTATTATAATGAAGATTGCTATAAGTTTAGTTTTATAATTTTTTTTAGTACAGAGTTATTTACGCCTAACGTTCTAAGCTTTTATATGTATAACTCGGTTGTTGTTATTTTAATTATTATTATTTTTTCAGTAGAATTTAGATTATTTAGTGATATCGGCATTATTTACATAACATCCCAACACTGAATCTGAAGCGATCTTAAAATATTTATTATCATACATATATATATTTTAAAAACGTGAATTGTATTTAATTATACTAAATATCAGAATATATGCAATTATACAAAGTAATGGAAATGTGAATAGTTCAATATTGGTTCAGTGTTTTATCCCAAAAAGAATATTAATATCGTTATATTCTCTGGTAGAATGATAACGGATGTATTAATTTAATGCACAAATTTTATTTAACTCAAATGTTCCTCGTATCACGATGCATGTTTAACCCGCACCATAGATGTACATGTTTAATGTAACAGTATTCTATACTTACGAACATGCGTTAGAACAAATAGATATCCGCTTTCTATGTAATGTTAATTTAAATGGCTATATTTAAATGTATACTTGGTATAAAAGAAGAAATTTGTGCGTAAGACTGACCGCAGGGTTTTTTGTTTTTTATTTTATTTTTTTGTGGTGTTTTGAGCACATAGCTTTTAAGATTCATTTAACAAGCGCTGCCTTTTAGTTAAGTATATGTTGCATATTTATTGTGAACTGTGTACTGAAGTTGAAATGTCTTTGGGATTTTAATATTAAAATGTATATCAATGCATAAATGTAATATATTTACATATGAATGCGGTACCAATTTAATATGATATTAAATGCATATATTTTTATTGATAATTGTCTGTTGTTTTTTTTTATCATCTCTGTATGGGAATGTTTCAACTTCAGTGTACATACTGTTATGATTTACATTAATTTGTATTGATTAGTGAATGTTCCTGATATTGAGGTAGTAAGTTCTATATGTTTTTGAGTGGACATTATCTTAGCAGCCCCTAGCATAGCTCATGTGCCAATATGAATTATTTAATTGGTTTTTATATAATAAACACATGAGCTTTTATTGATTCACTCATTAATTATAACGATAATTTTACATATAAATGTAATATAGATTGTTTCGAATAAAGAGGTTTTCATGACAACGCTACTAAAGTAGCGTCCCTTGTAAATCCATCATTGACATACACTTTTAATTTTTTTTTTTAGTCTCATGCGCATCATATTTCTAGTCCAAAACTATAAACAATTTTGGTGCAATCAAAGAAATATATCGAATTTGAATACGAAATAGCTGTAACATATAAAATGTGCAATAGTCTGAACTAACGAATCTGGTTTTTAACACGTCAGCGGTCTATATACTTAGGTTTAAAGAGTTACAGTATAATTATCATTAAATATTAATTTTTATATGAGGAGTTCATTATTTAAGTTATGTTTAATTTTAGTTCTAAGATCCAAGGCTGTATTAAAAGTTTTCCCAATGACTATGAATAAATTAACTCGCTATACGAATTGTATTTTGACACTATAGGTGATTTTTTTTCTCTCACATTTTCTATCGTTCTCGTGTATGGCCTTTTTTTTCTCTTACATGTGCACTTTTGTTTTCAACTAAATATGTTCGTTTTACAATTCTTATAGTGGGGGAAATATTTTTTTTTGTTTAACCTTTAATTTGAAACTTGTAAATATACTCGCTGATTTTAATGGATAATGCTCCACGCTCGATCTAAGTCCGGCTTTATCCATTATATCAGAGTCCTAAGTTGTTAATGGATGTGTGTATGACTAATTATAAAAATAATCCTTTATTTTGGTAACAAATTGGTGTTATGAAAAATTTTGTGAATAAAATATGGTGTCATTCTGAATTTTGTTTTATTGGTGAATTAAATAAAGATGATTATTTTAATAAAATTTTATTATCGGTATTCACTTCTCCGTAGCGACGATGTTCTGTAAAAGAAAGGTTTGTACAAAATATGGAAATACAAAGAAAATACATTGATGAATTATCGTAATACTAACCCGAACTCTAAATTTATAAACGAGGAAAAGGAAAGTTAATACGGCGAGTGGCAGTAGTGACGTCATCACCAACGACCAGCCCGCGACCGACTCCGGCTCCGACGAAGCCATCCCAGATACAAAAGTTATCTGAAATAAATATTTATTTACTACCTGCGCCCCGCGGATTCTCGGGGTGTAAAGTAGCCTATGTGTTATTCCTGAACGTCAGCTTCATGTATACAAAATTTTATAAAAAATCGGTTCAGCCGTTTGATCGTGAAGAAGTAACAAACATACACACACACTCACAAACTTTCGCAATTATAATATTAGTAGGATACATTTTTATCAATATACAAGTTCTTGAGACCAGCCACACTATTTTTACTATGCCCCAGAATATATTAATACACAAAATCCACAGCATTTTTAGTACTAAATTGCTTGGTCACACTACGCACGAAGCGTTAACATTGTTCATTTCTACGTTTTCGTACACATAAACAAAATATTCAATTAAAGGTCTAGAGTTGAACGGTAATTAATTATTTTACAGAAACATTTAAAACATTTTTGTTTCCATGTTTGATGTAAGTGACTGTGTGTCTTTTTGGAAAATAAAGATCTCTAAACCTAAAACAGTTTTAAGTACCAATATAAAAGTGAAGCTCTAAAAGGTAAAAATTTACTCTAAAAGTTGCTTATGTTGGGTTAAATGATTTATTTGAGCAAATTTCCAAGTCACAATAATAACGCGACTTGATAATGAAAGTATTATTTTTTTCATTTTCTCTTCTAAAATATTTAGCCAGAGTTGAGACTTAGATGTTAACTTGTTTGTCGTGGAAAGTTGAACTTTATCAGTCAACTAGTAAACCTGGCGAACTCCGTTTCGCCACCAGAAGGCTTTTATATAACATTTCGTTTGGTGATTAAAAGATGAAGAATTTTTTGTTTTATATTTGAAAAGGAAAATTTTTATTTCATTTCACAACAGTAATGAATTCATTTCGATTACAAAAATGAAGTGTTATTTAGTTGAACTTCTCTTAGTAAATGAAAGTGAATCCGAAGTAGATACCGAATCGAAGCGTTATACGTGTCCGCAAATTATTCGTTTCATAGAAGTGCTCCTTTGTAAACCACATTTTTTGTTTTTTGGTCTAACTTTAACACAAATAAAGCGTATGGTTTCCAAACTCGTGAACACGCAAAATATAACTGCCCATGTGAAAAACAATGATTTTCTAAATTTATCCCGCAAATACTAAATGGTTTTAAGACTTCAAACTACAAACACAATAACTAAATATTTTTATTTTTATACAGTAGATTTTTTACAAATATCTAATTGCCATCCATACGTCATTACATATCTGTCATTATACGTCAATTGCATAGCTGTCAATTGTGTTATTCCACGTCTTATAATGACTGACGTTTCATGTCAAGTCCCACGGGAATGCTGTCGAACGGGATAATAAGTATCCTATTGCAATTTCCTGGTTCTAACAATTTTCAGCTAAATCGGTTCAGCCGTTCTTGGGTTATAAGTGGAGTCACTAACACGACTTTCTTTTATAAATATATATATAAAATTATTTGTTACATTTAATAAAAAAAAACTTAATACTTACTAAGAGGAAAATCGGTGTCAAAGCCCAACAGACTCTTAAAAATACACAAGGGTATTCCCCCACAGCATAAAATACATCCTCACAGAATGTACTCTGTCCGTATTGATACGTCACTACGAGGGCCACGACAGCTGCGATAGGAATTCGCGGTTTTGATACAGGCCAAGTCAAAAGGAAATTCAAAATGTACATTCCACCCTAGAAAACATATAATTTATTTATGCCTAAGCATAATACCAACGAAATAAGTCTTAAATGTTACTCACTTGAGTACACAATGTAATGATACCAATAAATGAAAACAGAAAACATAACATAATAAGAAAGGTCCAGCTAATTTTTCTCATGGATTTACCAGTAAAGGATGACATAATAGTTTGGACAAGTAGTGCCTGAAATAAAAAGTATTTTTAAGATTTTTCATAGCAAATTATTATTCCTTTGTACATATAACATAAAAAAATCTGTGCAAAAAATATTACCGTTGAGCAAACAGATAAAACAAACAGTGTAAAAAATGTCAAAGTCGACCAGAACTGGGTTCCAGGTGCTCTGGCAACAAAGTCTGCCCAAATTATAATTGACGCGGAAGAACCTGTAACAAAATCGTAAAAGATTGTTTCTTCTCAGATTCAAAGAAAAATCTCAAATTAGATCCTTAACATATAATAATAATAACGTTTTCCATACCTTTCACAATATGAGTGCTGTTATTGTCATAATCCCAATTCAAAGCGCCATGGGCACCTCCAAGAATAAGAGCCGTTGCTGAACAACTGATTTTAGAAACGCCGAAAGCAAATACTGATGTATTCCCAAGCATACGCTTCTGTTTAGGACAATAGGATCCCAACATAATTAGGGTTCCTTGGGATACTGACATTTGAATAAATGCAAATTCCAAAGCCTCCCGCCAAATCTATTAAAAATATATTTACATTTGATATCGTGTCCATTTAACAGAATTGAATTGTTAATACAACTAAACAAATATAACTACTAGACATAATTATGTATTTTGCAGAACTTTACATAATAATTACCAACAAAGATTATTTACCTGAAAACTTTCAAATAGAACATTCCAATCGCAATCATAAAACATACGCGATGATCCTTTTAATCTGATCACACCAAACGCACTCCACACCAAAACGAAAAACGCTAAGGAATCCTTGAAGAGCACTAGCTGTGAATAATTTTTTGTCAGAATTAAGTCTTAAACTACAGATATCCATAACTTATACTGAAAATAGACAAAGAATACATACTTTCGAATAGCTATAGATTTTCTTGCACGCAATTAGGTACACCAGTATCCAGGATATGACGTAATAAACAGACAATTCTGATACAATACTCCCTAGACCTCCCTGCAGTCCGTCACGTTTCAACTTCAGAACGAAGTTACTACGAGAAAAATATAAAATTATATATAATGTAAGTACAGCTATATTGATATGGTTTATTAACCAAACCCTTAACTTACAAGAAGAAAGACTGAGGTGGGGTCTCACTGCCAGCGGGTAACGGCCTATGTCGAGCTGCACACGGCGGGTTAGCCGTTGATGCACAGTGGAGCCAAGGTAAGAACGAATGAAACGAATGAACCACTAGCGCCAAACACCATGAACTCACAGCACTCAAAGACAAAGCCGTAAACGTACATAATACTAACATCGCTAGACCCAGACCTTTAACAATTACACTTAAGACACTCTTTGGTAACTAATTTAAAATTAAGACACTGTAATATTTTATGAATATAAAGTATATCTATAAGTAATTATTAGAAAAAACAGCTCATGTGATTATTACATCCTTTATGTTGTTGTTGTTGCTATTAAAAAGTTAAATACGAGAAAGAAATAAAAAACAGTAATGAGAGTTGTAATATGAGTATCGTGTGACATTTTTAATACCTCTCGCCACGGGAGCCAAATCCCAGCAATTAAGAACACCTTTCTTTGTCACCACACCTAAAGCAAGCTCCAGATAGAATGCAGGGTAGGCAAAAAATACACTGAACACATTATAGAGGAAAAGAAAGGGGACTAGTTTTCGGAAGTCATGAATGTAGGGCTGCCACCACAATTGTACGATTCCAATACATGATGACATCACCAATTGGCGGTAACTGATATTGTTCGTCCATCGATCTACTATCTAAAACATTAAATACGATTTGTTCATTAAATATATGAATTTAAAAAAAATATGTTATCATTCTACTTGTATTCTCTGTGATATTAGCTAAATATCAAAACTTGGTCTACTATTTAATTAATTCAGATATAACCGTAGAAGTTTCTATATGAAATCTTAGAAATACAAATACCAAATTGTCTGCAGTTGATTCCGTATCAACGGTTTCAGTGATTGTCTTCGTAGCACTACTCTGTAATGTTATAAATTGTGAACGATTGTTTATATTGTAATCATTAATAGTTTCATTTCAAATAATAATTACCAGACTCTCACTCATAGTTAAAAATTATTATTATAATCTTCTAAAACATATATTAAAGACGAATACAAAATAACGTGACATTGAAGTTTGAGATAGTTACGTTTACAGACAATTTTAAAAAGATTACATATTTTGCGAGCTTCTTAAAAAAGTCTATTTATCTGTCTGTTTTGGTTTTTGAGTAACATTCTGAATTGTAACATTTGTACAATAAAATTCACTATGTGTTTTCTCTACACAGTACTCAAGATTATAATTCGTCTTACAAATAAAATTTTTGACATTGGCAAAATATTACACGATTCCAGTGCAAATAAAGCTATAGCATGAAGAAAAAAAGAAATAAAACTCATCCTTGTTAATATAACAAAGTTTATTTCATAACCATACTGATACTCAAATCAAGCTACATATTAAAAGTAGTAAGAAAAACTAAAGTCCGAAAACCAATTAAACTATTATTTGGCAAAAGGATTGAATTCCCACGTACATTTAACATTATACAAACACAAATGTCTCGTGACAACTAACAAACAAATATCTTTCTATAAATACAATAATTATGTGATAATATTAAAAATAAAGTACCTATCGTATCAGAATATAAATAATTGTGAATTATTTTTGGGTTCCATTAAATTTAAATATGTTTAATTTCGCTTCTCTCATAGGAAGGTGGTAGAGCCTAGCTGTGGTTAAGTTACTACAGCTCGAACATGGGCTGGCTCGACCGGGGAAGTACCACCCTGTCACAGAAGATCGGCGTGAAGTAGTCAGTAATGACTGCGTTTCGTCCGATGAGTGAGAGAGCCGGTTGCCCTTTCCCTTTTCCCAACCTTTCCTTGTATTTCCTTATTCCCACCCCTCCCTATCCCTAAGAAGAAAAGGTTGGCAACGCATCCGCAACATATTTGTTGCGGATGTCCATGGGCGACGGTAACCACCTACCATCAAGTGGGCCGTCTGTTCGTTTGCCACCTATAACATAAAAAAAAAAAAAAAAAAAAAAAGGAAGATAAGACAATGATCTCAACAAATAAACTCAAATCAAGTAATTATTAGTTCTACTACATACGAAGTGTTGACAGTTTTTCATTCACAAATCTTCGCGTATGGTAGTATTAATATTGGTTATTAAATGAAAAACGGGAAACGCTACGTATGTAGTAACTATACAAACTTTGACTAAGTATACTGATTCTATTATATACTAGATTTAAAACATGCGAGCATCCGTAACTTCCTATACTGTGACTTTAATAGAAATATCTTAATATTCTATTTATAGCTTTAACAAAAAATTTATTATATGTATAAAAATATTCAAATGGAAATATTTCATACTGGAAGCTATTTATGATAAGGCAACATTTTACGAAATTGTTTAAACATGTTCATTACACGCTTCGTCATTACTCTATTATTATATATTGTAAATATGGATATATAGTATATAATTAAAATTGCAATATATTTATATATGATTGGCCAAAACCTGACGCGATAACCTTTAACAAAGCCTTTAAGTTACAACTAGAACTATTCGCAAATTGTTTATTTTATAATTGGTAGGAATATATTTTAATTTATGTGTTTTTAATAAATATATGGATTCATAATGACGCTTTGCACCTTAACTATGCAACACTACTTGCTATTGATAGTACTATGACTTAATACAGAAGGCAGTTGGTTTTTAGTTCATTATATATAATAACAGGTTCTTTTAATAGTCATACAACATTCAATTATACAAATAAACAAATTACAATGATTATTATTATTTTTTTGTAATATATCAGAAAAACTCAAAGGCAAACATAACAAATATTTATTATTATTAAAATATTTTTAATCTATACTATGATGGTGTTACAGTCCAATTTTACGTGCTAACTGTCAAGTGCCAACTGTCAATAGTGTCAACTGTCAACTGTAAGCTGTCAAACACTGAAGAGGTCCCCAGCGGATGGTAATGGCGCCAAACCCCCTGTGACGTCAGGCAGGCGCGAAACATCTGGCAAATTCTCTATATGAGACTTCACCTCGGCTTTCACTTCGTAGATCTTTTGAAGTTTTATGTTGTACTCCTAGAAAGAGATATATAAGATAGTACAAAAATCTTTAGAGATGGTACGATCTTTTAGACTTAACGTAATTAAACACTAAAGAAGTTTTTTTTATTTCCCAAACTTCAGACATATTTTTAATTTCTTTATCATGTTTCATTGGCCTTAGTCTCTGTGAGATTTAGGTAAACTAAAAGTTCATATAAAAATTTGCTTGGCTTGAATTCTTTATATATTAGTATCAATAAAATTATCATTCTGATAAAATGGGACTTTTTAAATTGTGTAAATTTTTGGAAGCTAACTTAATGCCAAGAACATAACTTTTTTTACACAACTTACTTTGATTTTAAAGGAAAAATGTGAAAATATTTACATAGTAATTTTAGGGAAAAAAGTATTGTTTTCTTACATAGGAATATCTAATTTTTATGACAATATGATCAACATGTAAACCTAATTTTTTGTCTAGATATCAATTAATCACTTTATTGTAACTATCTTTTAACATATAAAATGATTTTACCTAATATCATGATTATATGAACAATAATTAAGAATTATGATTTTTTAAAACATAAAAGGAAAGCAACAGAAATTTAAAGATCAAGTCGCAATAAAGTTTTTAAAACTGAGCAAAAATATATTAAAACATTTGTTAATAAAGTCTCATTAACTAATAATATTAAATGTTAATAAACATATTAAATTAATCATTTATTTTCAAGTTATAAGTGTTACAAAAAACTGGAACATTATATCTAATCAATCTAATTCATAGAAGACATTCCAACCTTAGTTCAACAGAATAGTTTTCTTACATAGAACAAATATAAAAGTTTACATAAAACTATGGAATAATTTACCGGATATTATCTACAAAAACCATTGATTTGATCAAACATACCTCTAATTTAGCCTCAGCCTTCTTTGCTAATTCCCTCTGTGCTTGTTCAAAGTCCCTTAACATATCTGCAACTTTATTTCGTTTGTCCAATTCTTCGGATAGTCTTAAATTGTACTCGGCCAGTAATTCTACTGCTGAATTCACAACAGCACTAAGACTTAGAGCCGATTCTTTATCTATAAACAAAATATATATTATTATGTATAATATTTAAGGAATATGTATATTAGGACATAGTATATATGAACATTTAAGGATCAAACATTTTTGTGTTCTTTGAATGTATGTGAAATGGCAGATGAATTTAAATTATAGAAATAAATATGTAACAATTAGGCATATTGTGTAATGTGAGAAACAAAAAAAAGGAATTTGGTAGGACTTTATACATTTTTCTATGTGTCAAAGAAAAGGAATTTTGGGGTATTTGTGAATAAAATTGTGACAATAAAAGGTGTTTTGGTGCATGAGATTTTTATTTTATTTTTATTGATGAAAAATAAAACAGTAATCTTTGTCCAACATTTATTATGCCAGGTACACATATATTTTATCTGTGTAACTAAATTACCTTCTAACTTAGATAATAATTGAACTTCAGAAACTTCCGGAGGAAGGGAGGCGATACGTTCTCTAACAGCTTCATCACTTGAAGCGCTGGATTCAAGTTCCAGTAGGGCCTGGAAATATGGATTAAACAATTACATTACATATAAAAAATATATATATTAAAGTAACAACAATTTTGCCAAAATAGTTTCCATTGCTATTTTGGCATGGAGTGTACATTACATTTTAAAAAAATAGTAATAATCAAAGAAAAAAAAAACAAATATAGAAGTAACATTAATAGCAGGGAGTATCAAACTTATATATATGAACAATATATCAAAATTTCTTATAAGTTTAAATGAAACTAATATTTTCGGATTTACGAGTCTGCCTGTAATCATGGTTGCTATAAAGTAACCGAAACTTTGGAAGTATGTAGTTTATAGTCCAAAATAAAAAATCGTAGTAAATGCGAAAATATTAGTTTCATAGAAATAAGTACTCGCGAATATCATAGATCTCATTATTTCTTATAAGTATTTCTCAGTATCAAACAGGTGTGATTTAAATGTTTTTAATGTAAACTATATATATTTATACCTTGATAAGTTCTTCAGGTTCTGGCGGATCGCCGGGTGGTGGCTTAGGGCTGCTAGAATGATTATCATTATGTCCATCAGAACTAGCCTTCGATTCAAGTTTAGCATCACTTTTTCGTCTTTCCTTATGTTCTTTTTGCCTAATCTTTTCTTCAACCCTTGGTTTCTTACTATTGTCTTTTGTTTCTATATCGACAACCTTTCTTTTAGTGTTTGTAACTTCAGCGTCATTTGGATCAACTAAAATGTTTATTATTTTGTATATATTTGTCATGTATAAATGAGATGATTTTGAATGTAATTGTACTTACCAGCAACTTTGAATTCCTGTATCCTCTCCGGTTCGTACACACCTCTTTCCTCCCATATATTTAATATTCTATGCAGTGCGTGTTTCGTTTTTGCGTTTATCCCAGTCTTAGCCATGTGCTTCAATGCATCTATTAACACGGCCCCAAACTCTTTACCATATTCCGGACCTTTCTTTTTACTGTTTTGTATAACATCGTTAGCTAGGTACATAAACGTTACTTGTTTGTTGTCTTTAGCTAGAATCACGATTTATAGGTTAGGTTAGGTTTTAAATAACTTTATAATCTGATTTCTTTATTTCTATTATATTTGTTACATAAAAATAACGTAATAGGAATGTGAACAAAAAAAATCAGCAAGACATTTTTTAACATAACCAAACGTAAGTAGCAAACGAGATGTAATTTAGTACTGTTGATTTAATTGTGAATAAACTCCATATATATTAACTGTATTTACCTTTCAGAAGCTCCTTATACCATGTTTTAACTATAGCGGCATGATGTTTACGGTGATGTATTAGCCATAGTGATAATGTTTGTATACTTTGTTGACTTGAATTAAGATCCTGTAACTTTCGAATCAACGCATTTTCGGTAAAACCGGACATATTATAAACTAAACTGTTATGTAATTAGCACTTAACACTCAGAAGGGACCATAAAACGGAGAAAATATATTTCTAATTCGTAATTGCATTGAAGAGTGAAGTACTCAAGACTGACGTTTGAAAAGTTAAAATTCTAGACTTGATTCTTGAACTTCAAGATGATGTTTCGAAACAGCCACAGATATAATAAATGATTAGGAAATGACAGATATGTTATGAGTTTATGACACAATTTTTTTCTTTATATAGATATTCTCAAAGATAAATATAAATGTAGAAGATTATAATTCATAACAATTTATTTCCTAATTAATATATTATTAATCAATTTTCTACTTTTTTTATAAGTATGTATTTCCAAATAAAAAATATTAAAACACAATATATTCTATAATTTTAATTCGTTTAGGAATGACAATACATATACATTTCTTTTATTAACACTAGTTTTATATGTATTATGAAGACACCTTTAAAGGAGTTGTAATAAAATTTTATAAATTTTTTATTCATGACAATTTATGTTCAGTTAAAAAGTATTAAGACAGTACAAAATATAATTTTATGTTAAATAATTGATACCACAATATAGATTTCCAGTAACTAAAAATAATAGAAAAATATTCGTCAAAAAGTTAATTGCCGAAACCCGGGATCGAACCAGGGACCTTTAGATCTTCAGTCTAACGCTCTCCCAACTGAGCTATTTCGGCTACGATAAACGCAGCGTATTTATCGTCAATATTATAAAAGCTAAAATTATTAATATCGTATACAAAATTTTAATTAATGAAAGGTACATATTTATTTAAATGAGGTCGACTAGATACATCATAAAATAAAAATTGTGAACTTTTAAACCTTTCACATAAAATTTACATTTTTGTGTAATTATGGTGTGAGACCCACATCCAAAGTGTACTGTTATTGTGACTTTGAATATCAAAATAAATTTTTATATCAACCATTTAATAAAATTTTGCTTCTATTAATTTTAAAAGATGTTATTTTCTTCGAATTTCAATAAAAGCGCCTGCAACAAAATACTTAACTAAATATGTACTTCTAAACTTTTGCAATATTTTCCGTGCATTAATATATCTGTATTTTCTTGTTAATTCTGATAAATTCTTTTTTTTATATAGTATCAAAAAATTAAGCAAAATTGTAGACATTGGCTATTTATTTCGTATTAACTAATTTTAACATAGACAGCAGACATAGTAATATGCTGCATTGCATAATATATCCTTTGCGATAACTATTAGTTATAAATACTATATTTATATGAGTCTTACAAAGGAATATGATATAATATATTGCATCACATGAAACTTACTTTACATACTTTACAGTTACGAACGAAACATAATTAACGGGACTTGCTATATCAAGTATGTACAAGACTAACAGACAGACACTTTCATCTCAACTGCCCAAGATCATAATTGTTGTAAAGTAATCGAAACTTCGAGAACATATAGAAATAAAAAAATAAAAAGATGCGTAGTATCCAAAAAATATAGTTTCGTTTTAAATATATATCAAACATAAATGGAAAATACATATTTCATTTATAAACTGAGAAATATTTATAGCATTATATGAGATTAAATGAATTGTTTTTCTATGCATTTTTAAAAATAAAATTAATGAATTATTTAGACTATTTAAGTATTTAGATTAACATAGCTAGCTAACTAGCTCCTTGAAAATAAATAAATATTTATATAATATTTTTTAATAATTCATTTATAATAGTGCCTTATAAAATAATCACAGATACATTTTAAAAACTATGATAAATATTATTCTCCTGTATTCTAAAATTCAACAACAATAATAACAACAGAACAAATAATATATCTGAATAAATTATAAAAAAAAATTGTAACCAGTAAATCCAGTTTTAAAAAAAGATTTATAATTTTTCCATTTAATAAAATGATTCGAGAAGTTGTTCCAAAAATAAATATTTACAGATGATATTGATAACGAATAACGGTGAAGAATAATCTTCATTGTTTTAATCTTACAATCTCTAATACCAACCCACTATTAAGTACTAAAAAAAACTATTACCCAACTACTTTTTAACAATTAAAAGTATCTTTGAAAGTACAGACAAATAATATATTTAGGTGGGTACACGTATTCCAATAATTGTGACCAATCAAGAGCAGGTTACCTACCAAAATGTATAATTTTTAATATTCCTATATAAACTCATTATTGGATTCCAAAATCATGTTAGGCTTACCATAAATCTCGTAAACATAACTTTTGACATATTATAATATATAAAACAGTAACATTAATATAAAAATTATGATAATAACTAAACGTCCAGCTATTAAAGGACCAACTAGACGCGCCGGTCTTACATCGCTCACCTGCGCTAGCGTTCTCATCAGTAAACAGTTCTCAAAGGCGGCAACGCACGCGCCAACCGAACGCGGTCGAAAGCACGACAAAATGAAATCGAGTTTCTAAATTTGAATTATTATAATTTTTTTTTTCGTAATTCGGAATTCGAAGTTATTGGACCTTTTTTGTTTTAAATATATTTTTTTAAATTTAAAAATGTTCGTTCCAAATAATGTATCGAGTGTTTTCGTCATTGTGTCCCTGGTTCTACTAGCCAATGCCCAGAAGCCAGGAAATGTCGGTAAGATATAAAATTTATTTCTATTTATTATTATATCAAACTTTTCTATTTTATAATTTATATGTTTGTTATTGAGGCTTTTTATATTTATTTTTGACTGTGGTATCAAAAATCTGTGAAATTATAACTGTCAACAAACTATTAGAAATCTCTATAAAATTATTCATAGTCGGTTTTCTTCTATTTAATGAAGTGGTGGCCTAAATTTAAAATTCAAATATTTTGTACTCTGGCATAATCTTATTTATTTATTCCAGAAATAATTAATTTATTACTAATAAAAATACCAAAAATTATAGATAATATTGATTTTTAAAAGCATTATTTCTAATTTCATAAATGACATACATCTGCACGACGTGAAAAGTAAACAATAATTTAATGAATATACTTACAAAATGTACTTTCTTCTGTTTTTTTTAACGTCGCCTAAAAAATAGGCAGGTGTTTATTTATGAATTATATAATTTATGTCTGATATAGTATATTATCGTGTTTCGACTTGAGCCGTTTACTACTTTTACTTTCAGTGACACAACTGAGTGATTTCTCTCTCGAAAACGAGTTAATGCATTGTAGATATATTAAAAAGTGTGTGTATGCAAATTTAATATAAAAGTAACATAGCATATTTGAAGATGTTAATAAATTGATTCAATAGAACTTTTTTATAATTTGACGTTTCTAGTTGTATACAAAGTTGTTATATATGTATAGATCGATATTGGATTTTTGTATGGTCTAATTGTAATTATACTTACTGGGCTTTATATTATACGGTCAATATATTATAGAATTTTTTGTTTTTTTTGTGAATGTTAAAATGCTTTATAATATAAATATTCTTATTCATTAAATTATTTTTTAAGATGGCGTCATATAACAGTCAAAAACATGTTAAGTTGCCAGTAACATCAATATAATTAATTATCTGTTTAACATTTTTGTCAATGTGGTTTTAATAATTGATTATATCCGTGAACTTGTATAATAAGAAAAACTTAATAAAATGCTTATTTAATCTATTACAAAATGTTATTAATTTCTTATAGAACTTTAGAATAACTTAATGATTTTCCTTGCTCAGTCAAGGTGAAACTTTAAAATAGATTTAAAAGTATCAAAGAAATCTAATATGAAAAACTTATTTTTTAACTCTAAAAGTGTGCATAAATTAATTTAAAAAAGAAAACTTGAAAATAGTTTTATTTTGGACATAAGTCACTAATAAGTTGAAAAAAGTAAACGAAATACAATGTCCTTTCAATGACATAGTTGTTTTGACATAAATTCTTTTTTTTTAAACTGAATATACAAATGTCATAGTTAATTTCTTGACACTAATGTATATAGTTTTGAGCATATTTTTTTTGACATATTATATGATCGTATAATATTATTTTTTTATTAATTATAAAGACAAAGTCGTATAGTATTGATTTTTTAATTTATTAATAACAAAACGTAAAGTTTAAAGAAAATATTTCTTTATTCTATATGTAGATCAAGAACGTTGTGTTTTTGTTAGAGAAGACTTCCATCACAGATTCATACACCTGGCTTTAATTTTTTATATCAACCATTCAGCTAGCTAAGGTGTTAATTTATAAAACATCTTATTCTTATTGACATAAGGTTATTTTTAAGGTCAACGAATAACTTAGATATCGATCTTATTTTTTTATGAGTTCATAATTATTTAGGATCACGATTGTTTTTTAGAAAGTCATTGAAGAACTTCAAAGTTAACTTCATTTTCACCTGTCCGCCTACCGTTCACAAATTAATATTATAAATTGTTAATAATAAGCGGTTTCGTTTATGTATGTTGGTAGAGTAAGTTTAATTACGTATACATTTCTTAATAAAAAAAGAGACCTAATTACAAAATAAATATTTAAACAACCAGACCGCGAAAATTGCATGAGAGTGGAGACGCTTCTTACATCCGTGTCAAGGATCAATTTACGGTATGAATAAACTATTGTAATATATATATATATATATATATATATATATATATATATATTTGTAATACTTATGTATAAATGCTCCTGGCTGAATAGATTTTTTTAACTATATTTTTTATATACTGTTTTTTGTTTACAATGACTTTATTTACACTATATACCTACTATCGACAATTTGATGATATCTGAATTAAATTTGTTTGGGCTTACATGCGTTCTTTTGTATTAAATAAAGTACAGCTTGCTAATATTTTTTTAAGATTGTCATGATTAGTAAATATATGTAATAAACTAGTTTTTGGCTATGACTTTTGCCGTGGTAATTTCGAAATTTGGAGTAGACAGACTGTACATATGACAGT